AGTGCCTCTTTCTTAAAGAAGAGGAAGATGCGGTTAGGTGATGATTCCAACAGTGTTAAAACTTGTATGTTAGACAACTTTCTACTCAAAACCATCAGTTAGTGGCATTTACACTAGCTACGTTGTTGATCTTACTGCAACATTTTTTCCTGGACAGGGTGTGACTTTTTCTTTCCCTTCATTTTGGTGTCTGAAATAAGTCAAATAACCATTGTTTTATTCAGTCAACAACTTATTAAGATATTGTTCATTTCTGTTCAAATTGTGGCTTGTGCAAATGATCTAGTAAAATCTGAGATGACCAGTTAATTTTTAGTCAGCTATGATATCCATTTAACGTCATGCTTTAAAATTTTTGTTTGACAATATTACTGATATGCTCTAATTATACAGGTGAAAATGAAGTTGGTTAACCTGGGGCATGCTCAAAGGTGGGTTTTGCAAATTATTCTTGAAATTCGTTTTTTCACCCTTTTGATAGCATAGTGGAGTCTCTTAATCAAGATGTGAGTGAAAAATAACCTGTACAATAGGAATACAGTATTGGACCAACCGTTGCTTCCTGTTTCATGATAACTTGTGCTTCAATATGTGAAACTCACGCTTCACTAAAGTCACTGCAAAATGAGTGTGCAACAGTCACATTGCAAGGTAATGCCTTCAGTTGACATGGCAGTAATGCGTGAGTTTTAATCTCTTCATCACTAAATTCTTCCTTGGGAATTCAATTGAACCTAGCAACATCGTACTAATTTAGCATTTCATATCCCTAATTGTAAATCACCCTCTTTATCTAGAACCTCAAATTAATATTGGAGATTTGTGAAAATTGTATGTTTCAAATTGCTAAAGGAGATTTTTTTCCCCCTTAATTGCAGTGAAGAAACAAGGTTGAAAATTGGTGTTGCTGTAAGGATGGGTTGGGAAAGACGCCGTGGGATGTTGAGGCTCCAGGAAACTTGCCACTATGAGTGGCAAAATTTAATTGCAGAAGCTTCTAGGAGGGGCCTTCTGGGTGAGGAAGAGTTGCAGTGGGACTCTTACGAGATTTTGAGCAAACAGCTTGAGCAGGAGTGGATACAGAGTGTTCAAGAAAGGAAAAATAAGCCCAGACTGAAGGGTAACAAGAGAGCTCCCAAATCTGCTGAACAGAGGAGGAAGATTTCAGAGGCCATTGCAGCTAAATGGGCTGATCCTGTAAGTGTCTTTCTTTGTTGGGACTGGACTTCTCTTTGGGAATAGTCCCTCCATCCACATGTTTTCGTTTTCACCCTCCTCCATTCTTTTGACTAGGGTCACAGTTATGAGTTTGAACTTCCTCACATTTTGATAGCTTTCCAAAAAATGGTGTTTTTACCAATCTACCTTTTCTTCTAACTAGGATTACCGTTCTCGGGTCCAATCCGCTCTGTCCAAATATCATGGAATACCTGATGGGGTTGAAAGAAGACCAAGGAGAAAGCCTGCTAGTGATGAGCAGACCAGAAAAAGAAGCCCTCCGAAAAAGAAAGCTAATGAATTGGATAATCTGGTAATGCCCGAGCCCAAGAGCCAAGTTCAACGTGTTCGATTGAGGAGAAAAAACACACCAATGTACAAGGATCCTTTGGCTAGTTCCAAGTTAGAAATGTTAAAGAATATCAGGGCACAGAGAGCAGGTATTGACCAGAAGAAAATTGAAGCTGTCATGAGGGCAAAGTAAGTTATTATTAAATCTTCGTTATCTCAGCATCTTTCCATCTGAAGTCTGCTGGTCACTCTGTCATTTTATGAACCTCATAGCAACCTGATACAATTGCTGCCAAAACGGTGATAAATTCTCTCTGAATGAAGACGTGCCTATCTTAATGCATAAGAAGACTACCCCCAAATTGTTATTGACTGGAATTATTAATTTGTACCTGAAGCATTAGTGCATATATTGACAGGAAACTTAATTAGTACAATCTTCCTTCTATGGGAAGTTTGAATTTTGTTTTTCCCATATATTTCCAGCGACTTAGTGAGTGATGTCTTTAGACTTTGTTCGGAACTGAGAGGGGGAGAAATGAAAGTAAGGCAAGGCGGAAAAAATAATTTTATTCTTTGTTAGGTAAAAGTCTCACATTGATTGGTGATTGGAGAATAGACTAACAATTTGCTTATATGGAGTATGGACTTGGACAATTCTTTCCTCATGAGCTAGCTTTTGGGGTTGATTTAGGCCCAAATGTCATATCTTCACATTCTTTAATGAAAAGAATTTGGCACTTGTCTCTGTGTTAGGTATAGGAACGCCAGGGAAGAATTGGTTTCCTTCTTTCATTCTTCCTGTTATTCTAGCCAGAGCAAATAAACTTTAGTAGGATTTGTAGACTTCCCCTTCCTTTCCTTCTCTCTCTATCTTCCACATCTGTATGTAAAATCGTTAAATGATTTACAAGTAAGTCAAAGGGGTTGTGTTAAAAATTTAGAATGTCCTTCCTTCTTCCAACTCTTCTATCCCCCTTCCTCCAACTCTTCTATCCCCCTTCCCATTCCCAAAGAAGGAAGATAGTGCAAGAAAGGTGATTGAAGAAGAAGGTTCGTTGGGCTTCTACCGTTGCTTGTTTTCATCAACTATAATGATGAAAAAACATATTGATGATATCATTTGTCTTTTAACTTTTTTTGGTAGGAGGTGAAATGTAATAGTGGAGTAAACTATTATCTTGAAACACGGCATGTTGATACCTCAAACTGAGGAGAGGTCTAAATTATGGATTTTAGGACAATATCTATTTCTACACGCTTGTATTATTAGTATCAGCCTGCTAGGTAGTAACTGATAAGTTCTTGGTGTGTTAACAATGTTGCAGAGCATTGATAGCTGAGGCTGAGAAGGCAGCAGAGGCCTTGGAAATGGCTGCCCATAACAGCCCTGTTGCTCAAGCGTCGCTAATTGAAACTAGGAAGCTCATCTCTGAAGCTATCCGCTCCATTGAATCTATAGAGAAAGAGGTGTCTGTTACAGATAGAGATCTTTCACCACCTTCAACTGAGCTGGGGAGCCACACTGCAGACGACGGAGATTCGGAATTTGGAGCTCTGGCTGATCCTGGTGAAATAAGAATAAATGGTTGGCATGCTGTGACGCCTATGGACAGGGGTATCTATCATTTAGATGATGGACGGCATGCCTTGCAAGGATTACCCAATGGTAAAAACACAGCTCTCTTGTCAAGCTCCAGTGACTATGACTTACTGGGTGACAGGCAGGAAGTCTATCAAATGATTTCCAGTAATTTATCTCTGGAAAAGGAGGTCAATATAACACAGTCCACCACCTCGACACAGAGATTTGATGAGGATGAAGCTAATGGAAGCCCAGGAGATGAACATAAACAGCTTTTAAACAGGGATGAAGCTAATGCAAGCCCAGGAGATGAACAGAAACCGCTACCAGATGGATTGATATCTGGTGCAAAGATTGAGGCGGCGACCACCACCACCACCACCAAGAAATGGGTCCGTGGGAGGTTGGTTGAAGTAAGTGAAGGATCTTAGATTAGCTGAAAGATTATTTGAAGTATCTGATTTACACACTTGGAATGCATCTCATGGATGCACTATAGAGTACACTTATGCCTACAACAATTTTTTTGACAAAGAGAGTTTTCTCTGCAAATCAAATGATAGTCTGAGCTATAGGCATTTCAGTGTCTAGTTTCATGCTAGATACATATTCTCTTGTAATATCCGTTTCATGACCATTTATGTAAAGTTTCAGGATAGACCTGGCCGCATTGTAATTTGTCGGGGCTCACTTAGTTCATTCCAATTATTGTGACATTTGATTCGTTTCTATCAATCTTTATCATTGTGCGAGGATGATGTTAAAGCAAATGTCAGCATTGCTTAGATTACATGACCAACAAGTAGATAGAGATTATTACTTATAACAACTGCTAGCATCTGGATTTGGGGTTACTTTAGCTGGAGAAGCGCATAACATTCCAGTTCTTCAGTTGGGAGTCGATAGCAATCTCCATTTCCCGCCTCTTCTTTTCCTTCACTTCCCTAGCTTGATTGATCTCCCCTTCAACTTGTTCCTTCTGCAAAATACAATTCTGAATTAATAAATGCTACAGCAAAAGAGATGAGAAACGAGGGATATATCAATCACTTACGTCGACAACGTCAGGGATGGGAAGCTTGGTGCCGTGGACGGCGGAACGATTAGCTGCTTTGCCGACCGACCGCAGTGCAGTGTGACGGAAAACGACCTTAGCGGTCTGGCAGGTGTGTGCTACTTTCAACACTCTGTTCATTTTCTAAATTACACCAACTTAACCGATCACAAATCAATTCTTTTTGCTAAATATTTGCATCAATCATCTTCTGCCGCTGTATTTTCATTATTAGTAACAACGAGATAAATTTGGGCTATGAGATTATGGATATGGCAAAGCCACATGGCTTCTCCAGCGAACTCCAGATGTCTCTAGTGCACACTAGAAACTACTTTGTGTTTTTTTGTCAATATTTGTTCTTATTTTTTTTAGGACATAACTGAAACTTATAATATAGTCATTTTGAGAATTAATTCAAAGTTAAAATTAGTGTCAAAATCAAACGCGAACTAAATTCCGTCCAAATTGAATTGTTGTGTTTTAAACTGGGCAACCAAGTGCAATTCCCAAGGGGCATTTGCGACCCTTCGAATAGCCCAGGCCCAACACGGAAACTGTTTCCAAATGAAAATGATACGAAGGCTTGGGCCAATCATGCAACTAGCCCAATACTTTGAGGGGCCAGGCAGACCGATGGCGGGTCATTTTCTCCCACCGACGATTTATGGTACTCTCATGATTAATCTGATAGTAATTCCTTCGGCCACACCCTTTCCGTCTTACAAATCGCAGTTGTTAACTTGACTGGACCACTCACCTAACACATCTTATCAGTGTCTTCTTCTCCCTCTTCTCTCTGTTAGTTAATTAAATAGAGCACACAGTCGTCCTGTTTACTAGAACTGCAACTAATACCACTACCAAATGCAACATGATGAGGGACACTGAATCATCTGATGAAGAAGATGATCGAGAGAACCTGATCCATCAAAATGAAAGAGTAAATGACCTTTCTAAATCTCCACGCCGTTCCACATTCCAAATCGAAGACGTCAAGGACCAATTTGCCCTTTGTCGGCGCTTCAATTTCACCTCCGGTAAGAGGTATTTACTGGCAATTATTCTTCCAGTTTTGGTACTTATTCTTTATTTCGCTACCGATATCAAGAGCCTATTTCAGACCTCTGTTACCACCATAAAGTATGATGGTTCCGTCAATTCCATGCGCGAGTCCGAATTGCGGGCTCTTTATTTGCTTAGACAGCAGCAATTGGGGCTTTTCAAGCTGTGGAATCACACACTAGTTAATGATACTTCTACTACACATACTGGTAGTAGCTTGGAGTCCACTCCTGGGTTTGCTTCGGTTTCGAGGTCCTCAAATGTGGAAGATCTCAAAGCCGATTTGCTCAGACAGATTTCACTAAATAAACAAATTCAACAAGTTCTTTTATCCTCTCATCAATTAGGTAATTCTTTAATTACATCAGATAATTCCACAGACCCTACTCTCAGTGGTTTAGGTAGGTGTCGGAAGGTGGATCACAACTTGTCCCAGAGGAGAACTGTGGAGTGGAAACCAAGATCCAATAAGTACTTGTTTGCAATTTGTGTCTCCGGCCAGATGTCAAACCATTTGATCTGTTTGGAAAAGCATATGTTCTTCGCAGCTCTGCTCAACCGCATTTTGGTTATTCCGAGCTCAAAAGTTGATTATGAGTTTCGTAGAGTCTTAGATGTTGATCATATAAATAAGTGCTTGGGGAGAGAAGTAATTGTGACCTATGATGAATTTGCAGAAAGGCGAAAGAGCCATTTGCACATAGATAAATTCCTTTGTTATTTCTCTCAGCCACAACCTTGTTTTTTGGATGAAGAACGTGTTAAGAAGTTGAAATCATTAGGGATATCTATGAATAAGCTCGAAGCTGCTTGGAATGAAGATGTTAAGAATCCAAAGAAAAGGACTGTCCAAGACATAATGGCTAAGTTTTCTACGGATGATGATGTTCTTGCAATAGGTGATGTGTTCTTTGCTGATGTGGAGAAGGACTGGGTAATGCAGCCTGGAGGCCCCATTTCCCACAAATGCAAGACACTCATTGAGCCAAGTCGTCTTATTATGCTTACTGCTCAACGTTTCGTCCAAACGTTCTTGGGAGACAACTTTATCGCTCTTCATTTCCGCAGACACGGTTTTCTGAAATTCTGGTATGTTTTTGTTTGATGCTGGATCTAGTGTTTAATAGCTATTTGATTTTGCATCTATCACTAGTAGGGGGGACAAAATGACCAGTGCTAGTGGCTGATCAATATATTGCTTAGTAACTTTCATTTCCATGCCCAATAATGCCTCCAATTATGTGTTACTGCCATAATGACAAAAGCTTCTCATCTCAGTTCTTCCTCATCTTTTTATCATACTTTACCACCTCTGATTCGTTTATTGGTCTTCTCAGCAATGCCAAAAAGCCAAGTTGCTTCTACCCTGTTCCTCAAGCTGCAGACTGTATCAATCGTGTGCTTGAGAGGGCCAATTCTCCAGTAATATATCTTTCCACAGATGCTGCAGAAAGTGAAACTGGTCTACTTCAGTCACTTGTTGTATTCAATGGGAAGACAGTACCCCTTGTTCAAAGGCCTGCTCGAAATTCAGCTGAAAAATGGGATGCTTTATTGTACAGACATGGCCTTGAGGGTGACCCTCAGGTGAGTTTTAAATATGCATTTTGTCCATATTCATAAGCAGAATATTAAGAGCAGCTACTTTATGTGGCACTGGACAATACAGTTGGTAACTTTGATACTGGAACTTCTATGCTCTATCGTTTTGGATCCAGCCTCTGCTTTCTAATCTTAATCTGTCAAATGAGCACATTTTGAATTCCTCGAGTTTGACCTGTAGTGAAATTAGACTTAAATTTTAATTCTATTTATGGGAAGGTAGAATAGATCTGATTCAATTTTATCTTGGATAATATAGATCATCACCCCATTATACTTGCATTGTATTCAAGTTTTAACATGCGTTTAGAGGTGTTCATATTTATTGTGGGTTGGTAAGGTGGTGCGGGTGCTTGAGAATGTAGGAGAAGGTGTGAGCCATTTTTCAAGTAGATAATGTAGGTTCTAGAAGTCTTTTGATTGTAAATATAAATTTGTTTTGTGGGTTCTTGAATGTAGTTTGATGTCCTTTAGTTCTTCATGGGCTTAAGTCAACAACAACAACATACCCAATGAAATCTCACAAGTGAAGTCTGGGGAGGGTAGAATGTACGCAGACCTTACCACAACCTTTGTGCGGTAGAGAGGTTGTTTCTGGACAAAAGTCAAATTGTATTTAGTATTTGCTTATTAAACAAAAGGTTAATCCGTACTGATTAGCTGGCATGAAATTTGTAAATGTTTCTCTTTGGCAAAAGAGAGTTTTTTCTTGTCTTTTTGAAGATGCGTAGAATTTTGGGATGTCAAAAATAGGATAGTAGGATGCTTAAAGTCAGTGTCATGAAGTACTAGATGTACAAGAAAGTTGTATTGAACTGGCTATGCATTTTTGCTCTTGCCTGAATTTATTTTTACAGGACCTAATGTGTATAGAAAGCCTTAAGAGTCTGTTTGGATTGACTTAAAAATTAGTCAAACCTACTTCTAAGTCATTTTTAGCTTTTGGAAATGTTTGGCGAAGTTAAAAATAACTTAAAATAAGTTTAAAATAACTTTAAAAAAGTTAAAAACTAAAAGTAGGAGTCTCTCTACTTTTTATTTTGACTTAAAAGCTACTTTTTTTTTCTACCTATCCAAATGGGCTCTTAATGGTACCTCCCTTTCCGGGTAATAGGTACAAAATTAATCTGTTCAAGTCTGTGAATCCTACTGGAATTCTCATATTTTAGCCACGATGGATTTGCACGCATCCAAACATCACATGTTTCTTCTCTTAGATTGTACAGTTTCTACCATCAGTTGTATGTAGGATCTTAGGGAACTTATTGGTAGAAGAACAAGGTTCATGTAACTTATACATAGTATGGTTTTTCGATAGCTCATGTTATTATTCCTTATAGGGGACAGGCAGCGCAGAAGCAGAATCCTGTAAATGAAGTCTGCTTTTCTTTAGTCTTATCTTGCATTCTCTTGTTAAATTTTGTTTGTTGGTCTTGCATGCTCTTATTTGTCTTCTCAATTCCTTCATGAAGGTGGATGCTATGCTGGACAAGACAATTTGTGCCATGTCTAGTGTGTTTATTGGATCATCAGGGTCTACTTTTACTGATGATATTTTGCGGCTACGAAAAGACTGGGGATCTGCTTCGCTTTGTGATGAGTATCTATGCCAGGGTGAACTGCCAAACTTTGTCGCTGATGACGAGTGAAGCAGATAATGGCTGAACATACTTCGTCTTGTACTCCTCAAGCTCATTCTGCTACTGAACAAGTTACTATGCCTGAAGAAAATGAAAAATTGTGTTGGAGTAAAGAGTGATATCTTTTGTTATATTGTCTGTTACATACTTGTAATCTCGATTCTTTAGCATAGATGGCCTATTTGGCCAATTCTTTTGGTCTGTATTCTAGTGTATAATATTGGTTAGCAGAGTGACAATGTTTTGTTCTGTGTATCTGTTTTATCTCTTACCACCAGTTTTAGAGTTTGTAGGCTTGCATATTGACACATACACTTCTCAATAGTTGAATTTTTTCAGGATGAGAAAAGATAACTTCACTTTCTTGTTTTTGTGTTTTAAGTATACTGAGGGAAAATCACAAAGCTGAGGCAAATATAAGTGGATCAGAATCAACTTGCTTCAGAGATGGAAAAAAAGAAATCGACATGATTTGTTTTTTTTTTTTTTTTTTTTCTGTCCGCTGGTTGAGAAACAGATGAAAATGTAAACAAATGTTATTCTAAGTGTTTGTTCGATTTTTATATTAATGTTCATTGACATTTCTACGTTGTCGCAACTCTCATTTGTTTCAGCTGAATTGACTGCTTTGCTCGATCAATTCATTTTATTAATCAGCAATAATGTTTTGCTAATTTTCAGCGCCAGTAACAAACTACTACTACTTCAAAAGAATTGAAAAGATATACAACGTATCACCTATTTATACGTTTAGCTATTTAACATATACTGAGCGAATGCACAGTTCTGAACACATTTTTATAATAATATATCTATTTTTATTCATGATAATTATTTTAATTCTTAACTTAATTAATTGTTATTACCGGAGTGGGCTTAAAATTTGTGAGCCCATTAGGATTTAACGCAAGAATAGGTCGTGTTGGGTCGACGATCACGTGGATAGAAAGCCCTATATATAAATAAAGAGTCGTCTGCTCTAATTCTCTTGTATTTGTTCCCATTCTCTTCTTGTTTCTCAAGAAAACTAAAAGATTCTTCCCATCTGAAGGAAATGGCACCCGCAGCAGATGTGGAGGATGAGATTAAGGACGAGAAGAACCCTAGGCCTCTGGATGAAGATGATATTGCTCTACTCAAGACTTATGTACTCTTCTTCCTCGCCTAATCTTGCATATCTTCATATTCAAATCTTTCCTATCTTATCGTATCGTGTGCGTTCTTTCTAATTATAGTTAATCTTTGGTTACGCACTGTTGCAACCATATCGCTATGATGCAAAAATGCAGAATTGCGAAGAACTCACAGGTAGTACTGAAACAATGAGAATTTGGAAATCACTAAGCTATGTAAAGAAAACTAAATTGGTAGCCAAAGAATGAGTTTTATTAATGTTAAATGGTATTTGTAATGGTCATACTGCTAACTAGTATGAAACGACCCCTATGGCCTAAATTAACTTGAGACTACTTCTACTGTAGCTAACAAATTTACCTGTGCTACATTCATTTGAGCTGCAGTTGAGATATGTATGGTTTTCTTTTCCTTTATTAATGTTGGGGGAAGTTGAGATATGTATGGTTTTCTTTTCCTTTATTAATGTTGGGGGAAGGTGCAATATGTACTGTTAGAAATCTCCATCTTATTTTTGTGTATCAATTCCCCTTGAAATGAACTTTGTCATCAATGGATCGGGTCTGGAAATTGGTCAAGTACTGATGATGGAATTTTTGAGTTCCAAAGTTAGGCAGAAGGCCGGACCATATAGAAAAGAAATGAGCAACATCCAGGGTCCAATATTTTTCTCATCAGCTTGAAAGCAACCATATAACAATTTTACTTCCAGACGTGCTGACCCTCCTTGATATAGGCTCTAGCAGATATTTCATAGATTTTACTTGAAATATAAGTAAGTGAAGTGACAAAGTTTTCTAGCTCCATTAAGAGAAGGAGCAAAGAGTGAATTATTGTTAGCATAAGTAGATGAAGAACCTGCTTTTGATCTGCCCTGTCGAATGCTTTGTCATTCTTATGTTTTGAAAGATGGCTACCCTGCTACTACATCAGACTGTACAATGCCCTTCTGCTTTTTGCAATTAACACCCTTTAAGTCTGAACTGACCTTTTTTATTGCCCATAACTTCTTTTCTTTCATTGGGTTCTTTCTCTCATACAATTTGTTTAATCCTCTATGGAATCAATGTTTAGTGGACAATCATCAACATCATGAAGCCTTGCTCCTCTTGAAATATTACAGAGGTGGAGAACTTAATATCCACTCTGATAGAACGGAAATTGGACTTGCTCTTACAAGTTCCTAAGCCATACCCATCTTACCTGAAGTAAACCTTCTAACACTTATGGAGATTTATTTACAAAAATATGGTGTGATCAGGTGATAGGGGTGTATAGTTCTTGGCGATAAAATATCATTCATTTGGATAGACATTGCATGAGTTCTATTCATGTAAAGAGTGTTTGATCACACTTCTATATGTACTTCTAGTGTGCGAGTACAACCACAGACACATCCCACATTGTATGTAAAAGAGTATGCTATTTTTTCCTTGTGAAATTTTTAGTTTGGTTCCTTTTCACTAGAAATCCCTTCTTTCATTTTGAAAGTATATACGACTTAGTATCTGATCATTGTTTTAATTAAATTATTGAAATACTTTTTGCAGGGTTTGGGGCCTTATTCCACAAGCATAAAGAAAGCTGAGAAGGAAATCAAGGAAATGGCAAAAAAGATAAATGATTTGTGTGGTAAGTATTTGTATGTCTTTGCTTTTTATCTTTGATGTTGAACTAATTCCATCTCTAAATGCAAACTACTGTTCATTGCCGCACATTGTGGTCTTTGTTTTTTCTGGGGGATAGAAAGGAGAAACAGAAAGCTTTTCTTGTCCCTTGATCCTGGGAATTGATTTACTTTTGTTAAAGTGTGTAGATGTGTTTTCCTACTTTTTCCTTTACACATTTCCCTATATATGCATGGTGAATTTCAACTTGCTGTCTTACTGATCATGCAGGTATTAAGGAATCTGACACTGGGTTGGCTGTACCAAGTCAGTGGGATCTAGTTTCAGATAAACAGATGATGCAGGAGGAGCAACCTCTTCAGGTGTGGTTTTTTTTGGAAATGAAAGTTGACTAAGTCTTTGCTTGTCAGATACTTTGAAGCTGTAACTAAATCTTTGGAGCAGGTGGCTAGGTGTACAAAGATAATTAGCCCCAATACTGAAGATGCAAAATATGTTATAAATGTCAAGCAAATTGCTAAGGTATGTTATACTTTCTTTTGCATGTCATATTGGCTGTATTAATTTCATTTCTGACAGTAATTCAAGTTGTGTGAGTGTTGTTTGTCTTGTAAGTCTCCGCAAACTGATCCAGAATAGGTCTGTGCTTAAGCAGTAATAAGTGGCATATTGTGGTTAGCAGCAACACATAAGTAAGAAATTTGACATGTCTTGATTTGGAGATCTATCAGTCATTTTCCTTTTCTTCTGAGAACTTACACTGATTAACTAACAGTAACAGGATATCTTCCCATGTTTTTGTGTTTAGCCTGAGGGTTTGTACTCATTAGATTGCTTTAGTTTTTTTTGGGTAAATGATGTATTAATTTCCATGCGACAATTGTTGTAGTACCATTGGTTGGATTTATTTTGCAAATTGCAATGGATTATGATCACCTTGTTTGACTATTTGCTTCTTTCGTACCTGCAGTTTGTTGTTGGATTAGGTGATAAAGTTTCACCAACTGATATAGAAGAAGGCATGAGAGTCGGGTAAATTCTTCTTCTTATTGTTCTGTCTCAGGATCTTGTAGCATGGTTTGATGTTTTGCTGTGGTCTGTCCCCCCAAAGTGTTGATTTGCTTTAGCTAGTTGTTAATAACTTTTTGCTAGAGATGGTGAAAGAAAGCAACACTTAATAGCAAACATTTTATCTTTTTAATTGGTGGATCCACAATTCCACATTCTCTGTCAGAAGCAACTGTTGCTTATTGCTGATTATGAAAGCTTGATTGGTGCATATCTTGCAAAATTACTAGTTTGTGGAATGGATCCAAATAACTTACCTTCTTTTCCTGCTAAAGATGGCCAGTATAGATATTATTTAGCTTTTAGGCGGCACATCTGTAAGATTATTAAATTGACTTTGAGTCTTCTGTTCTTTTAAAAGTTTGTTGACTCTTAGCTTGACTATTTTTGTTAATGTTGCAGTGTTGATAGGAATAAATATCAAATTCAGATTCCGTTGCCCCCCAAAATTGATCCAAGTGTCACAATGATGACTGTCGAGGAAAAACCTGATGTTACATATAATGATGTTGGAGGATGTAAAGAACAAATTGAGAAGATGCGAGAGGTGATGATGAGTGTTCATTCTTCTGTTGTGTTCTATATTTTCCCTTTTCCCCTTTGGTTGACGTTGACAAATTGGTTTGTGCTCCTTCGCTTGCTCAATTAACAACAGGTTGTTGAACTTCCCATGCTTCACCCTGAAAAATTTGTCAAACTTGGAATTGATCCCCCTAAGGGTGTTCTCTGCTATGGTCCTCCTGGTACTGGGAAAACATTGCTTGCCAGAGCTGTTGCAAATCGTACGGATGCATGCTTCATTCGTGTTATTGGTAGTGAGCTTGTTCAGAAATATGTTGGTGAGGGGGCTAGAATGGTTCGTGAACTGTTCCAGGTTAGAAGCATTCTTATTTTTTTTTATTTTTTTTTGGATTACCTAGGAATCCCCCAACTCCAATTGGTCTACTGGTGGAAAACTCAGGAGAGTATTGACCTGCACCTCTACCATGTTCCCACTTAAATACCAAACCTCGTGTCTGTTACAGGGTTTGAAATCGTGAGGTGCAACCACCTCACGTCCTTACTATTGAACCAAAGCCCCACTGTGAGATAATACACTCTTATTGTTGAACTCGTTTATCAAGGTTCAACTTTAGCATGGATTCTTAACTGGAGCTTTGATATGACAGATGGCACGCTCCAAGAAGGCCTGCATTGTGTTTTTCGACGAAGTAGATGCCATTGGAGGTGCACGATTTGATGATGGAGTTGGGGGAGACAATGAGGTTCAAAGAACCATGCTTGAAATTGTGAACCAGCTTGATGGTTTTGATGCTCGAGGGAATATTAAAGTTCTCATGGCAACCAATAGGTTAGCTTGCCTATATGTTGCAAAAATAATTTGTGTATATGTTGCAATTGTTTTTCCTCCATCAGTGTACACAT